TGAGGAGGGAGTTGAGAAGTGAATTGAACAGTTTTTGTAAAGGTTCCATATAATTAAAAATCTAACTTTTGGAACTTTTAATCATGTTATATTGTCATTTCCTCATAAGAAACACGCCAAAGCCATTTTTGGCCTCATTCATGCATTTTCTTCCCATCTCAGCTTCAATTTGGTCTCCTCCCCCAATGCGGGTCTGGTCTTGGTTCTCAAATCTGGATATTCTGTGAATTTTCTGACAAATTAATTCTGAAATGACTTCTACTGAGACACCGCCAGAAAAATCATACATCCCATCTACAAAGACACACCAAATAACATAATAAAATGTAACGCCACCTCACTTTTATCAGATGTGGTGGTGTAGTGGTGATGGTGTCAGGTTGACTTGTAGTTTTGCGCAGGTTCGCCTCCCAGCAGTGGAAATATTCTATAATCTCTTTTCCTCATTTCTAGCTACACTTGCCAGTACTATGTTTACAACAATTTATTGGTATGCCGTTTAACATATAATGACTAATGTGTTTTTTTATTTATTCATTCGTTTATTTAGCCAGTGTGAGTCCATCTGTGAGCAGAGTTTCAACTAAAATGCTGTTTAGGAACGACCAAATTCAAAGAACTTGTAGAGACATAAATATTTTGCTGAAAATGAACATTACAACTAAAATATGAACAAATTAAATGTTTCAGCTGGCTGAATAGATTGTTGCCGACCCCACCGAGAATCGAACCAGCATCAGCTGAGGGGAAAGCAAAACTTAAGTCAGACGATCTTGCCACTGAACTACCAGAACCCACAGGGAGGAGGTACATGCTGTTGTACACGACTTTTATTAGAGCGGCTGTGGGCAGATATTCGCTACGAGAAACCTTTTTATTTCGGGATATATTCAGACTTTGTCATGTAGCAAGTTATATTTATCTTGTTTAATTGGAGCACAGAACATAGCATTAACGACTGTAAACTAGTAACAGCCGTAATTCATGTGGGTCAGGTCAGTTTGCGATAAAGTTGAAAACAAAAACGGAAGTCAGTGGGCTAGGCTGAGTTTGCGTGAATGGGCGGGGTTGACTCTAGTGCAGCTCCACCTTATGGTGCAGCTCCGCCTTTGTAGTTCTGCAGCGAGCACCCTCTCATTTAATTCAATTCAATTCAATGATACTTTATTAATCCCAGAGGGAAATTAGAGTTTCAGTACACACAATTCTGAGATCAGACATACATGGGCAAAGACATAGACACATGACAAGAATTGGTGACTGTCGTCATTCGCAACCCGAGTTGCGCTACCTTAATAGATATCAGAGGGGTTTATATGAGGATTGGGTCAGGTGGAGGAAAAAAAGGCACTTCAGAGTTACCCTCCACAGGGAGGGCAGCTTTGCTATGCAAAAAACACCTCAGACAGATATGCAACAGACTTCAGACATTACACAACATAAGTGTCCACTAGGTGGGGTGGTAGGGTTTGGGACTCTCCACACGTCAGTGAATGCCGCTGCGATAAGCAGCGCTTGTCACCTCAGTCTGGACAGGGGTGGAGGTAAAACAACTTTGGTTTAGTCGTTGATTGTGATTGGTCCATGTGATTGGCCGACCTGAATTGGAGGGGGGGTCGGAGAGTATATAGGTGGACTGCTGGGTGTGGCAAAGGATTTTTTTCTCTCTGAAAGTGACAGAGACTGGAGGAGAGTTGGATGGGTGGCCATTTTGACTACAACTGGGATTTTTCAGATTTTTGTTTGGACCAGAGGAAATTAAATTGGTTTTCCTTGTTTATCAACCAAGTCATCATGCTTCTTTTGTCCTCAATACACTTCACTGTGTAACATTGATATATGCAATAAATAATGAAGACAGATTAGGAGATGAATAAAAACATCACACTGAGCTGTGGTGATTCTTGTGTATTAGAGCCCATTTGCACACAATCCTACCTTGGAAGAATGAGACCTGCTGCCTCTTAGAACCTTCCTTTGCAGATTTGTGTCAAGCAGTCATGTGTTGGATGAATTACTCTCACCTCTTGCATTCTGAAAACAAACACCTTTTCCACCAATTAATACAGAGCTGCACACATTTCTTTAGTTTTCGCTTCGGCCTAGGACGGATTTCTAGATCTTAAGTCCTTCTACACTGGATTGTCACCGTTAAGACCTTGGAAGTCCACCTTCAATGACAATCACGGTGGAGAAAAGCTCTTAGTATTTACCAGAAACGATTCTCCTGTTGCATTTGTGGCCTTACAACACTCCCATGATCAATGTTCCAATGGTAATTCCACCATGTGCGCTAGCCACACCCCACCTAGAGCCCCAACCTAGCATGACTTCCTTGAATTACGTCAGGATGGCTAAAGGCTAGAAGATCTTTCTACGACGGGGGCAGAGGAGTTAAGTACCAATCTTAACCGTAAATGGAGGGTTGCAGGATCGTGTTCCGCTCAGCCTGTCGTACTTGTTGTGTCCTTCATGGGCAAGACACTTAACCATTGCCTGCCAGTGGTGGTCGGGAGACCAGTGGTGCCCGTGTTCTGCAGCCTCGCATTCGGCAGTGCGCCCTAGGAAGGCTATGGCCAGGAGCCCTCTGTGTTCTTCATGTGCTGCAGAAAGCCTCTGCAGCATTTGCTGGATTTCACTCACACAACTCAAGTGACTCTGCAGTCACGCAAAACTCAAATGGGGACAGGAAGTATTTTGCTCCACAACAAAACACAGCGCAATGATGGATGGACTGATTTTACTAAGGCTTTAAATGACCTGGCACAGACGTGATATCGCAAAAAATACACTGCGGAGGATTTACCGAACGCTAAAGTGATTGGCATAATAAGCTACCTTTTGCCTCACATTACACTGCAAACCAAATTAAAGCCTTTTACAAGCCTGGAAACCTACAGCTGTTTTACTTCAGTGGTTAATCCTTCAGTCATCCGGAGAAGCTTTAAATGACTGTCATCTTGTTTTTGCTCAGTAGCGAGTTGTGCCATTTTAATTCATTAGCTGACGATAATGCTATCGCTAATGCTAACAATCAGTATGTGCTACGATCTACTTGTAACTAACTTTTTATACCTTATAAATCCAAATCTCAGATACGTTTGTTTGATTTTAATTAGGTATAAACGCCATGTTACAACGCTATGCTAACTGCTAAAACATTAGCACTCTGAAAGCTATTGGCGGTGAGGACACATGAAAATGGTATCACACTGTTATCCTGTCATTTTTTTTGGCTGTGTGGAACAGTTTAATGAATCTTTTGGTAATTTCTTACCTGTTAGAAAGTGGTCACTGTAAACTTCATCATTGTCTGTTTCAGCTCCTGTTATGCTGTAGATTACTGATCCACTTCTGCCATTTTTCAGTACCTTTGGCTGAGCCAGAACTTTCTGGAGAGACTTTATACCCGTTTTTTCCTTGGAAAAAAACAAAACAATATAGAACCTTGTGGCTGTAACTGGGAGAAGGGATTCCTTTCCCTCATATGGCTGTTGCAAGACCCAACGTTGACTAAGTATTGAGAAATCAATGAACGTTTGAGCAAAAATGATTTTAAATATTTGATTTTTGATGTCAGAAGTCTAACAAAACAGTTTAGTGTTGTTACTTGTCAAAAGATTGTGAAAAAAATTATCTCAAAAATGGCCAGATAATAAAAACGGCCCGAAAAAGACTCATCCTTTGAAAAAAAAAAACCTGGTTACAAAGAAATATTTAAAATGGCTCATCAATATATGGGCTAAATTACTGCACATTAGAGATGTAAACAAAAGAAGCTGAAAGCCATTCAGGCCACAATGCTCTTTAAACACCAAAATGCACCGTGAACTATTAAAAGTTGGATGACGACTCACAACCATGTCTGACATGGGTCATAACTAAAAGACCCAAAAGCAACATGAGAGAAAACATCGTTTCTAAAACCACACAAAGTTCTGAGACTGTTTTGACTTGTCTAAAAATCTTTGGGTCAGTGGTTTTCTCAAGAAAAAAAACACCAAACGACTCATTAAAATACCCTAGGTTCACGAAACAGAATGCTGGAAAATTTAATTGCACCAAAACAGATTTTTAAGATTAAGGCACACTCCAATGAGAAAACAGAAAGTTTTTTACAACCTTTACAAAGGATTAGTCTGATTGTTTGCCTACACTTTATAAAGATAGATTTAAAACAGGTAAGAGACTTTTCATATATCAGTGTTGACCTTATTATTTAGTTTTTAAACAGATTATTGACGCTTTATAAAGGGTTTACAGACACTGTTAAAAGACAAATACCTACCAATAAACGTTTGTTCTCCTTTCAGCAAAATACCTAAAAAATAACCTGGTGGATCATAACAACACTTGGAACATGGTCCTCTAGATGTACATATACAACTGCTTCCCTGTCAAAGGCAATCCAACATGGCCGTCACAGCTGATCAACATTAGCTAAACAAAAATGACCACCGTCTGTAATTGCTGTTAGTCTATTTTACTGGGCCTGGACCAAAACTGCAATTATTCAGCCAAGCTACAGTTGCGACACACTCTGTAACCCTAACCCTTAAGTATACACAGAATCATCATAAAGTTACGGTAAATGACAGCCATTAACATTTCATAAAATAATGGTCCAAAATACACTTGTAGATGAAGGTTGTCATCCTGCTTCAAACTGACCATCATTATGGATTTTTACTGAAAATGCTTACACTGACATGCTCTGAAACATTAGCATTAGCGCTAAACGTGTTGGCATTGCCCCAGCCTACATCAGGTTTAAATAAGAATATCTGCCAGTGCAATATTGCAATACATCCTATTAAATAAAAACATTTAGATGTTGAAGCCTATGAACTGATGCAAAAACCTTTTACAAACATGCACTACTACTTTTGCTAGAGTGGTGGAAATAGGACATAGCTAGCCTAGTGAACTAGACCAAATTCTTGCATTGCAAAGTTTGGATAGTAGGATAGAACAGTAGGATAAAATAATTGCAACTTTGGTCCTGGGACAAAAATGTTTATTCAGGACTGAAACTACTAAGGGAAATAAAGATTGTGCTAAAAACATGGCTCCAACTCAGTCCATTTTACAGTAACACAGAGCAGTTTCCTGCTCCTCTACCCTATTGGTTGAAAGTGGATTTTTTGTTGTTGTAAACAACTCTGCATTAGCTAGCACTAATAACGAGCTAACACCAATATGAGCCAACTAATACTAAAATAAACCACGAAGTAAAAAGATCCACATTGTTGGACAAATATTACTTACATCCAGTAGCAACAAAGCCAGGTCACCATCAGTTCGCGATTTCGTAGCCTTCTTTAGCTTCCTCAAACTAGCGTTGGGCACACTGATGTTAATTCTGGTTTTAGCTCTTTGCCTCACCTCCAAAGACATTACTCTTACTTTTTCTTCCATGCTTTGCCATGATGCCAACAAAAAAAGTAAACATCTTTGTCTTCTGCTTTTTATTGATGATTGGCAAACTGAAAAAGCAAACTGCTAGCATAACAGCTAACTGCCATAAAGCAGGTAAACAGCTCCCCCTATAGGGCACTTACCCACTCCACAAAACTGTTAAGTGCAGTATGTGGCCAGCAGAGGGCTGCAGAGTGGTGTCAAATATGAAACAGGTCAAGTTTCTAACTCAAGAATCACTGAAATCAATGTTAAAGCTCTAGCTTTAAGTTGAAAAAAATATTTAGAGCTACTGTTTGACATAGAAGCTGAGAGTCCCCTGCTATACTCTTGACTGCTAATCATAAAAGATCTCGTGATGTTACGAGATCTTGTGCATGGCATTTTCAATAATTGACAGTTTAAATAACAGCGTCTTTAGCGGATTATTAGTCATGTTTTGTTCATACAACCCAAGAATTGAAGAACGTCTATGTTTTTCCCTACAAGTCTGCAGTTGAGCTTATTTCCACAGATAACTTACACAGAGTGTCGCTTTGGGTAAAGGCATGGTGACATTGTCTTTTGGGCCAAAAGCATTTTCATGCAAATGGGATTTGGTGTAAACAAAGAATAAATCAATAGCTTGAGTTCCTTTCAATGAACAAAACACAATACATGAATACAAAACAGGCCCAACAGATAAGAGACAACAGTGCTCACTATGTTTTTTTTATAATGAACTCCATTATTTTTTATTCAACGTGAAAAAGAAACCGTAAAGCTGTCAGGACTTTAGCTATTTAAAGACATAATAGGAACCGCTAGTGTGGTGCAGGAAGTCCATTAGTTTTAAATGATCTGTAGCATCCACTAATATACAAACAGTTGCACCAAAGCCCCATTTAAAACTCTAAAAAGGTCCAATTTGATGAATCTAGATGTTACAGTAAAATAAAGACGAGTAAAACACACTCATTCTCATCAAACCCCTCTAGAATGTGTGAAAATACTCTAAAACATGTAAATACACAAAAGAACGCAGTACAGAAGAAACAACTGCATGACTAATCTGATTAAATCTTGTACAGAACAGTTATTTTTCCTAATGAGCTGACTAACATCAAAATGTGCAAATTTCACCTCGGTAATAAAATAGATACGATTTGACGAGATACTAAACAGCTGAAATTTGGTAACAGGAAGTTCCAGGTTTGTTGAGCAGGAGTTAATAACAGGAGCGTTCAGTTGTCCCAGATATTTACAATCTGAAGGATATTGAAGCTTTAGGACGTTTCCTGAAATGAGACTTGATTAAGTGCTGTATGGACGCCTCAGATAGGTTCCAGTAACAGAATCTGGTGACAGGATGATGGATGGGTCTCCTAGTTTGTGCTTTTATGTTCTTTTGCTGTGGAGCCAGTGCTGCTCCTCTTAGTGTGTGCTGGCAGCTTGGTCCATTTGTCCCTAAGACCCTTAAAGTTGTACAGTCTGCTGAAAGGTAAGTTAAATTGAAGCCTCCCTTCTTCCTGTTCAGGAGCTGCTGGTTCTAATCCCTGAGTCGGGGTTGGAGGACTGACCGGAGGCTGCAGGTTAGAGTGTGTTTGGAGATAGGATGGCCTTGGTTGCTGACTTTGCAGCTGGTCAGATTTTGATCTAATCTGAGCTCCAGGAGGCTGCTGAGAGAGAAGGTTGTGGGAGACCTGCTTTTGCCCAACAGGACTCACCATCAGATGGGATCGGGATACTGGTCTGTGAGGAGATGCATTATTTAAAACCTTAAATCCACTATAGAACACTTTGCTTTCTGTTTGGCTTCCTGAAGAATGAGCAGCTGGGACCTGGGAGGCTGAGAGGGATCGAGGGGCCCTCAGGGGGCGGGAGGACACGGAAGGTTCGTTTTCCTGAAGCTGAAACCACTGAGGTTTAGAGGAAGAGGTAAGAAGCTGTAAAAAAAGAGGAGACATTTAGCTATGGCTTGTGACATCACATTAATAAACTCTGAACAGATGACATCTGATGACTGGTTTTTAGTGAAAACACTAAAATGGTTACAACTGAATTTAAGAGTCCTACCATACCACGAGAATCACACATCACAGGAGATCTCTGATTAAAAGTGTTGAAGTCAACTCCATTCAAAGGCTAGACCACACTACATTTTTTAGCTATTGCAGAGGACTGCTCATGTCACACTATGAGGACTCAAGAAAGGTACAGTCCAAAATTTTGGTGAGCCAAACTGCACTACATCTCACATCTAACAGGATGTGCTTACTTCACGAGCGCACCTCCCGTAAAGCATACAGTGCTCAGCATAAATGAGTACACCCCACTACATATATCAGAAAACGTTTAGTTTCCTTTCAAAATCAGCATTTTCTCTGAGATACCATACTACAAAATACTCCCACAAATGTGGGTCATTGATCGCACACCTCAATTATAGTCTTACCCGAGTTTCACACTGGAAGCATCAGCGGCTCAAAACGGCAACAAAATAGCATCGATGCAGTACTTTTATCAAGAAAATTACCAGGAATTTTACACAGAAACAAGTGAGTGATTTCCTGTCTAACCCTGCTAACTGTGGAAATTGACGTGTCCCAGAAGCGGCTAGCGGCAAAAATAGAACCTGATCCTGACTTTAGCGGCGTGCCGCTACAGGGACTGCTCTACACTGCTCTACAATGCAGAAGATGCTGCCATTACCCCGTGCACGTGGTTGTCGTGCACTTTTCCAACATGACAATGATCCAAAACACACATCTAAAGCTACTGCTGCATTTCTGAAGAAGAACAGGGTGAAGGTAATTGAATGGCCAAGTACGCCTTCTGATCCAAACCCAATCGAACACCTGTGGGCAATTCTGAATCAGCAAGTTGAGCATCACTCTCCATCCAGGCTCTAAAATAGGTTATTGTTGAAGAATGGAAAAAGATAGATGTTGCAATATGTCGCCAACTTGCTCATTCCATACCTAGAAGAGTACACATTTTGGAGTCCTTGAAAATCACAGTGGTCATACAAAATACTTGATGTAGTAGTTTTTGTTGTGGGGTGTATTGTTTTTTGCTTCAACCAATTTTAGTAAAACTGAAGATTTTGTAATCCAAGTTATATTTTTAACTTTAAAGCTTCTTTCCGGAGTGTTTCTCTTATACAATGGCACCATCTAGTGGCTGACAAGCACATCACACTGCTTCCGTTTTTTAAGATGGCGACTTAACATTTCTATTTATAAATGTGCTTCTGTAGGCGACAAACAGAGCTAAAACACGTTGTTTTACATGTATTATTCTCATGCCATGTTGAGTTCACACATATTTATATTTTAGAGACTTACTTGTCTGTGAAAAGTTCATCAACTTGGCCACAGCTGAGGTACGTCCTTAAATTTGAAGCAAGTAAGCGGTAGTCTAACGCTATTGGTTAGTTCTGGTCGGCACTCAATTACCTATTGCACGGAGCTCTGCGAGGCATGGGGCGTGCTTAGCAAAAACAAAAAAACAAAAAAAGACGTATTGCTTACATTATCACAGTACATGATAAGATAATCACTTTTACGGATTTCTGACGATTCATACAATTTCTGAAAGAGGAAAATTTCGGAAAGATACTTTAATTTCATGTTTTGGAGTTAAACAAGTGTTCAATAAAGCCCAGCCTTGTGAACATTCTGGAAATTCTTCTGTTCATTAAGCTACTGATTAAATTTGTACTTTTTAAAGGGGTGTACTCATTTATGCTGAGCACTGTATATCACTAAAAGTCAACCGCTAACCAAAACAACAATGCTGAAAACAAAGCAAAATACCATCGTTAACACTTTTTTTTTATTAGACTCCAAACCAAACTCCAAAAGGAGCGGTCCACATGTGCTAAAGTTGCTAATTCTACTCCCATATTGTCCTCTTGTCACTAGTTGTTCACGTCACTCCTTGGGTGTATTTTCACTGGTCGATTGCAGACCAGGAGTAATAGGGTGCTCAGTAAGCCGGCACAGAGAAGAAGAAGAAGAAGAAGAAGAAGAAGAAGAAGAAGAAGAAGAAGAAGAAGAAGGAGAAGGAGAAGGAGAAGGAGAAGAAGAAGAAGAAGAAGAAAATATCATTTTTATAGCACCTCTCAAGATAAAAATCATGAAGCGCTTCACCAAAAAAAAAGTAAAAATATAAAAAAGAATTTAGAAAATGGTTAAAAAATATATAAAATGAGCAAAAAATAGACAATTAAGATTAAAAAAATGTTAAGAAAGAGAGAGAGTGAATAGGAAAGAGGGAAATCAGTGGATCCTGAGGAAGGTGGAATAAGTGGGGAGAGCAGAATAAAGAGAGAGGGGATGAAGAAAGTCATACAAAAGGCAGCTTGAACAAGTGAGTCTTCAGCTGCTTTTTAAAGGAGTCCACTGAGTCCACTGATCTCAGGCTCAGGGGGAGAGAGTTCCAGAGTCTGGGGGCCACAGCAGCAAATGATCTGTCACCTTTGGTCTTTAGCCTGGTGTGCTGCACAACCAGTAGGCTTTGATCACTGGACCTCAGGGACCTGCTGGGGGTGTAGGGACTAAGAAGATCACCAATGTAAGATGATGCTTGTCCATGTAAGGCCCTATAGACCAGAACCAGGATCTTGAAATGAACCCTGAAGTTGACTGGCAGCCAGTGAAGCTGGAGGAGAAGCGGGGTGATGTGGGTGTGTTTGGAGGACTTGGTCAGAAGCCGAGCACAGGCATTCTGAACCACCTGTAGACGGTTCAGGGAGGTTCTGCTCAGACACGTGAAAAGAGAGTTACAGTAGTCTAAGCGTGAGGAGATGAAGGTGTGGATAACTGTCTCAAGTTCAGAGCGGGACAGAATGGGACTCAGCTTAGCAATGTTCCTGAGAAGGAAGAAGGAAGAGTGAACAGAGAACTGACATGAGAATCCAGGATGAGAGCTGGGTCAAAGGTCATGCCAAGATTCCTGACGGAAGGTTTGTTGTGAGAAGCAAGCTGACCAAGAGAGTCTCTGACTTTGGGAACCAGCTTGTCTGGGGCACAGATGAGGATCTCAGTCTTATCTTCATTCAGCTGTAGAAAGCTCCCAGCCATCCAGGTTTTGATAGAGTCTAAGCAGGTGTGTAACAGCTGCAGCTTGGACATCTCATGGGGCTTAAAGGAGATGTACAGTTGAATGTCATCTACATAAAGATGGTAAAGATGGTAGAAGAATCATTTGAAGTAGGGCTGTCGCGGTTGAGGAATTCCCCCTGCGGTGATTCAGGGTGGCTTAATATTGCGGTGTGCGATATTATTGCAGCACTTTTTTTATTGCAGTACTATCTAAACATAATGTTTACACATTTAAAAAAGGTTAAAAATTGCAGTGCCTTCTTTTATAACACTTTACTGAATGCAGATCAAAGGGCAGTAACAACACAGATCGCAGTAACATTTGTTTCTCCGACAGTCGGAGTCCGAGTGAACTTAAAAACAACAACATTCAGGAGAAGGTTAAACTTTTAAATGCAATTTTGGCTGCAGCATCTAACAAATAAGAAACAAGTCCCCATTTTGTTTAGTTGTTTAAAATCAAGCATAAAAAATTACATGTACCGGGCGCGGGGCACTATCATTTCACTTTCACACACGAATGACGGTGATTTATAGCTCGGTCACGTCCTTGTTACCCACAAGGAAAACCAGCATGTTAACCATATAAGGTTTGAGAGAGGATCTGAGAGGGGTGGCAACATTTCCAGCAACACTGAAAACCCTCTCGTAAGGTGCGCTCGTTGCACTAACGCACACGTACTTGTGTGCGACTGGCGAGCAAAGGGAATCTCTCCCGGTTGTTGCTCCACCATGTCAGGGGGGTTTCTTTAGGGTGGATGCATTCCTCCTGCAGGTAGCCAGTGAGCTCCAGCTCGGCTCAAACTCTCTTCGGGACGGTTGCAGAAGCAGTGCTTGTCCGGGTCTTCAGCCGGTCTCCGAGCGTTTATTTATTTATTTATTTATTTTGCCGCTGGTGGTAGCTCTGTCTCGGCCAAGGACTCTGGCTGTGCAGCAGCTGACGTACTGAAAACCAAAGTGCTCCCAAAGGAGCGAAGTAACGTTTCGTTTTGATACCAGTGCAGCCATCCTTCTCAACATGCATCATTGAGTTGAATCAAGTTCAGTAATCGCGGTGGCCCATGATGCAGCGCGGTGGGCTTCTTCATATTGCGATATTTCATTTTTGCGGTTACCGTGACAGCCCTAATTTGAAGGAGCTCAGAATGTACTGAAGAGGGAGCAGATAGAGGAGGAAGAGCAGAGGCCCCAGCACAGAACCTTGTGGGACACCATGGGTAAGAGAGGTGGTGGAGGACCTCAACTTGGAGACGGCCACAGAAAAGGAGCGCTCAGAAAGATAAGAGGAGAACCACTCCAAAGCAGTTCCTGATAGGCCTACCCAGTCTCAGCCTCTCCAGTAGCAGGTGATGGTCAACAGTGTCAAAGGCTGCAGTCAGGTCCAGCAGGACCAGAACAGAACAGTCGCCTGCATCACTATGAGTCAGAAGGTCATTAGAGACCCTAAGAAGAGCTGTTTCAGTAGAATGAGCTCTACGAAAACCTGACTGGAAGCTATCATAGATGTTATGTTCATCAAGAGAAGTTGTGAGTTGTTTAGCCACAAACGTTTCCAAGATCTTGGAGATGAAAAGAAGTTTAGAGATGGGTCTGAAGCTGCTATGGAGAGAGGCGTCAAGACTCATTTTATAAGAAGCGGGTGGATTACAGCATTCTTAAAGTAAGCAGAGACCGGACCAGAGACCAGAGAAGCATTAATTATAGAAAGCACTTTGGGACCGATGGACTGAAAAGCACTTTTAAACAAAGATGAGGGTAAGATGTCGAGGGGGCATGCAGAGGTCTTCATAGAGTTAACTAGTTTGGTTAACTCAGGCAAAGAAACAGGAGCAAAGCTATCTAGGCTTATGGGCCTGGTTGGAGTCGGGAAAGGCAGCGATAAGGCTGAAGGAGAGATGCTAGATCTAACCTTATTGACTTTGTCCACAAAGAAAGACAGAAAGTTCCCACAGTCTGCAACAGAGTGGATGGAGGCTGTAGGAGAGGCAGGAGAGACGATACTGCTGATGGTGTTAAACAGCACCTTGGGGTTCCCTTTGCTCTGGGACACCAGGTTGGAGAAATAGGAAACCCTAGCGTCTCTGACTGCAGAGTTAAAGGATGTCAGAAGATCCTTTAGGTGCAGCAGATGGACGTGGAGATGGGTTTTCTTCCACAAGCGCTCAATTTTTCTGCATTGGCGCTTCAGGCTGTGAAGGCTGTCATTAAACCAGGGAGTAGGGTTCACTGCAGGAACTGATCTGGTTCTGACAGGACAGATATTGTCCAGAATGGAGAGGCAGTGCTCGTTAAACTGAGAAGTCAAGGAATCTGGGTCATTATCAGAGGAACAGGGTGGATCAAAAGCAGCAGAAAAATTGCTAGCTGTGCTCTCATTAAGAAAACGAGAACTAACCAGACGGCGAGCAGGAGGTGGGGACGCAGAAACTGACAAGTTAAAGAAAATGCAATGGTGATCTGAAATATAAACGTCCTCAGGACAAACACTGTCAGCATTTAGACTGAGGGTAAAAACAAGGTCTAGAGTGTGCCCCCTAGTGTGTGTGGGGCCAGAAACATGCTGGGTAAAGCTGAAGGAGTCCATAAGGCTGGAGAAATTCATGGCAAAGTGATCCGAGGGATCATCAACGTGGATGTTAAAGTCACCAACAATCTCCAGTCTGGACAGCTTCACAGTGAAGGATAGAAAGTCACTAAACTCCTGAAGGAAAGAACTGTTTGGACCAGGTGGACGATAGACCACAGCACAGTAGAACGGGTCCTTACACCTGACTTTAATCAGCTGCAGTTCAAAGGAAGCAAAGTGACCAGAGGTTGTAGAGCTACATGGAAGATGGTCTCTGAAAACAACAGCTAGGCCTCCACCACGACCAGAACCACGGGGCTGGCTAAGAAAAGAATAACCACTCGGGCAGAGTTCAACCAGACCAGAATAATCAGATGTTTGCTGCCAAACTTCAGTCAGAAACAGAAAATCCAGGTTTTTAGAGAGAATTAGATCATTGAGCAGGAAGGTCTTATTGTTAACAGAGCGGGTATTTAATAGAGCCATGCTGAGTGAGGAGGAGTAATCAGAAACTACAGAAACAGCTGGAGTTAGTGGATGTAAATTAGCAGGGTTAGATCCACGGTGTTTATAAAAAACACTTATGGAGGGAACAGGAGGAGAAACCACTGAGGAATGAGGATAAACCGACCTTAACAAACTTGGACGGAGAAACCGCGCCACAACGCGGCCTGGCGGGAATGCGGATGTGGCGCTCAGGTCGCCAAACAAAGGACAAGAAGCTAGAAGATCACGCCGATGTTTACTAGATAAACTAGCTTTAAGGGAAGTCTTATTCTCACCTGGATTCCTGCTCGTTTACCTCTTTTCCTCCAATGTTTTCCCGGGACCGGATAAACATCGAAGGAGGCGCCCTGGTTGGAATCGTTGTTTGGCTCTGGGCCAGTGCGCCACTCAGACAAACAGACAGGGAGGTATGTCCTCGGTGCATCTTAGGCGATCGTGAACGAACAGAAGGACAAAAGAGTCTGGTGATCATAGCAGATGGTAGCAGGGACACTACTGAAGAGGATCACAGACAGGAGCAAGGTGGAAAAGAGGAGGTTAGTGGAGAAAAGTTTGAAAAAGTGGCCGGTGACTGTGGCTAAGCCAAGCACATGCGCCATCTTGTTACCAACCCAGAGCTGGTCACACTGGACAGCCGCATACTTGCAAAATACCCTCACGTTCAGCATTTTTCATCACGGCTCTGTTCACGATGAGCAATTTTTCTATGACAGCCAAAAATTGCAGTGTGGTCCAGGCTTAAGATGGCCACCAGAGATTGTCAACGCTGACTAACACAAAAAGCTGATGAATTAACTCTACAAATACTCAAGTTTCATGCGCTAGTAGATAACACACTCTCATCATGTGAGTCCTTACATTATAGATCTCAAGCATAATTTAACCTATATGATCATAATTCAGTTTCTTAACAACAAAAAAACAGTAATTAGTTATTTCAGCAGCTCACCAATAAATGGCATTTTACCATTTATGTTTGGTTTTACATTAACTGCAGTGTTACGTTATAAAAAGCCAGTCCAAGAAATATTTGCAAATTTAAGCCTGACTGCTAGGAGTCTGGAGGATTGAGAGCCAGATTGCTGTGACTAATATTTGTAGTTACACAAAAATTAGCTAAGCTGTTAGTTGGACCAGCTCACATTGGGTAAGCGGTTCGCTGAGGTAAGCAGCCCATCTAGATGATGCAATAATCCAGTCCAGGAAAAACTTGCCTCACCCTCCAGTAAAAAAGTACAATGAATAGCAGTCAAGCTAATTACTAAATACATAACACCTAAATCATTGGTTTATGTTACCTTCTGTCCTGTGGTCTCTCTTGTAGATTGTCCGTCTCTCATTTCCTTATAAAGGAGTTGGTTTGGTGACATCTCACTTCCAGAGTATACTTTATCTGATCCTTTCCACTGAGATAAAACCTCGTGTGGTTGTTTGAGGCCACTAGTGAGGAGTTTTTGTGTTTCCAGACCCAGGGATGCTTCTGCTGTCCCTAAATCCCTGTTAACCACATTATCAGCAGCTGACTTGATCAGGATTCTGTGTTGTACACAGTTTATTTTTGTTGCCATCTCTGCAAAGTCATCTTCAGGTTGTAAAGGTATCATTTTATTAGCTTCTTGATGGTTTGTCCTCTTTTTCCACTGGGATTCCTGATCCTTCTCATCTGTGTAGCTTCTTTTGATCCATATTTCATTTTCTACTTCGTTTGTGTCGTCTGGCTTATGTTTTTGGCTTATTATCCCAAACAAAGAAGATGATGAGGAGTCTCCAGAAGTCCTCAACAAAATACTAGTTTCACTAGAAGAGGAGTTTTGGTCTGAAGTGCCTGACGTTGCAGCTTCAGGGCCATAATTCTGATATTCACGACCAGAGTCTGCGATGGTAGATGACGGAATATTTCCCATGGCAAGACTGATGTAATTCTCCTTCAGCTCAGTCTTCTGGTTACCACTTGGTTCAAAAACAGGCTCATGCACAGGACTGTCATAACACTGATAATACTCCTCAGAAGTGTTGGAAAAAGTAGAATCTTCTCTTGGTGAAATGTACCCATCACTAAGGTCAGATGTAGGGGTCCAAAAGTCTGGTATGTATGATTGTGGATTGGGAGAGGCTGTTTGTGAATCTGGGGTGGACGAGTTTGAAAGAAACACATCAGGAGTTGGACTTCTTCCAAAAACCATAAATGAAAGCGATTTTTCTTTAGCTGTTGGTGAGTTCAAGTCTGTCACTTGTGCAAGAGAGAGGTTTAAATGCAAAGGTCTTTCTGGAGTGCTTGTTGGTGTTTGGTGGGTCTGTTCTTGAAGGGTAGTGTGTGGTTTATGCTTAAGAACATTTAGCATGTCATCTGTGGAGTGTGTTAATGTGATTTTTGCTTGTTTTCCTGGTGGATTGGGTGTATTTGCACCAGAGGTGTGTGTTCCGTCAGTATTGTTGTCTATGGGTAGGTAAGGGCTCTGTGATGTACGGAGTACTGGAACTTTTGACGTGTCCATAGCCTCAAACACGTTTATATCTTGTGATGTACATTTACTAAATGATATTCTTTGAGGCTCGTGTGATTTTGCAAGGTAAGTTTGGGACTGTGTCACTTTAGAGAGCTCACAGTTTGCCTGGGGTTTCTCTGTCTGCCCTGTTGTTTCATCGTCTGAATTTGTGTCAGAATCTGTTGACACTAAAGTCTTGGAATCAATATTTCTAGAAATAATTTCATTAATATTCACACTGTCTGTCTTTGGTGCACCAGTAATCAATACATTGGACTCTGTTTGTAGTTTTGTTTCCTTGACCAGCCCCACTTTAGCTCCATCATAATGTTGTCCATCATCTCTCTTTTTTTCCTGGGAGCTAATATAATATATTTGCTGTGGAGTATCAGACAGGCTTTCTGAGTTCTCTGCATCTATGTGATCTCCCGCTTCACTGGCACTGTTGCCTGAAGCAATATCCGGATCTTTTACAAAAGAAGATTCCACCATACTTGCTAAAGCAGACACACTGTAGACCATTTGAACCTTTGCATCAGTCTCAGGCCTCCTGGCAGAGCTAATCTCTGACACCATCTGGTTTTTGCTAATGCTGATATCTTTTGAAACCAAGTGGACAGTGTGAGATTTAGGAATCGGGGGAAGGGAAGATGAAGCAGATGCAGAGGATGTGAGTGAATTTGTTGACGTAAAACATGAGACAGAGGGAGGAAGAGAAGAGGGGGATGTAGTGGAGGGAAGAGAGGTACAAGGACTAGATGTGCTTGAGTGCACTGCAGTAATGGCAATGGGGTTATTTTGGGATATCAAGGTGGATGTTTGAAACTGAGGTGGGGAAGCAGAGGAAGTGGAATTAAGCCCAAGTCCTTTGGGAGTCTGGAGGTTATGAGTCGCTTCAGAAGGGACTTCAGGTTGTGCGTTGACAGCCTTTGTGTGTGAATCTGACTTTGACACTACAGTCTCTTCTTGTGTGCCTAAAGCATTTGGCTGGGTGGGTTTAGGTAAAGCAATCAGAATGTGTGTTTTGTCAATATCTGTATTTTGGATATTCACAGCTTCCTTATCAATCCTTGATTCTGTGGTTAACTCTGACTCAAGACTGGTTATGGAGGCAGTTTTACCTTTATCTGAAGATTTCCCTTGATCAAATGCTTTGTTGCTAGATTGCAGTGGCATATCTGGACAAAAGGTGGATGCCTCATGGCCTTTATTTGAAATAAGACTGGTTCTGGAGGTGGTTTCAGTCTTGCCTGAATGTTTCCCTTCATTAGAGGGGGGTGGTGTACTTGACCTTAGGTTAGGTGTACAATGGTTTGCATATGCCTTAAGACTTGTTGTGGAGGCAGATTTAAATCTGTCTGAAGGTATCTCCTGATTAATTAAGGGTGCATTTTGACCAGACTGGGATGGTGTATGTGGACTGAATCGATGTGTATCATTGTCTCTGTCGGAGTTAGGACCAATTGATGAGGCAATTTTAACTTCATTTGATGGTTTCTCCTGATCAATTGATAGGTCTTTGCTGCTAGATTGCAGTGACATACTTGGACAAAAATTGGATGCATCATGGCCTTCATTTGAGAGAAGACAATAAGTTCTGTAGTCAGTATTATGCTTGTCTGAAGGTTTCTCTTCATTAGACGGGGGTGTTGTATCTGAACTCAGGCCAGGTGTATCATGGTTCACATCTGACTTAAGACTGGTTTTGGATGGTTTCTCCTGATTGAATAAGAATGCTTTTTGGCCAGACTGAGAGGATGTATGTAGACTAAGGTGAGGTGAATCATAGCCCATATTTGCTTTGGCTGATGGTTTATCTTCATTAGATGAGGGTGCTTTGGTAGAAGGGGGTGGTATATCTGAACTCAGGCAAAGTGCATGACAGTTTAAGTCAGGCTTGAGATTGGTAGTGGAGGCAGTTTTCAGTGCATCTGAAGATTTCATCTCACTACACGAAGGAGCTTTATTGCTAGTAAGCAGTGATGTACATGGCCTTTCATTGAGTGTAAGACGGTCTACATTTGACATAAAACTATTTGCACAAGCAGTTTCAGTGTCTTTTGAAAGGTTTTTATTAGATGAGGGTACCTTACAACTCAAATGGAGAAGGTTATCTGAACAAAGGTCAGGTGCATCATGGCTTACGTCTGACTTAAGACTGGTTGTGGAGACAGATTTGAGTTTGTCTGAAAGTTTCTCACTAAATGAGGGTATTGTGCAACTCAATTGGAGTAGTGTATCTGGACAAAGGCCAGGTGTATCGTTGTTTACATCTGACTTAAGACTAGTTTCAGAGGCAGTTTCAACTTTGTCTGAAAGTTCCTCCTGATTAAATAAGGATGTTTTTTGACCAGACTTGGAAGATGCATGTAGACTAAGGTGAGGAGTATCATAGCCCATGATTGAATCAGGACTGAGTGTAGGGGTATTTTCAGCTTTCACTGAAGGTTTCTCTTCATTAAATGAAGGTGCTTTGGTAGAAAGGGGTGGTGTGTCTGAATTCAGGTAAATCGCATGATGGCTTAAGTCAGACTTGAGATTAGTCATGGAAGCAGTTTTCAGTGTGTCTGAAGATATCTCCTCACTATATGTAGGAGCTGTGTTGCTAGATAGCAGTGGTGTATATAGACTTTCATTGAGTGTATTTTGGTCTACATTTGACATAAAAATATTTGCAGTTTCAGTGACTTTTGAAGGTTTCTTATTAGATGAGACTACCGTGCAACTCAATTGGGGTAGAGTATCTGGACTAAGGTCAGGTGCATCATGGCTTATGTCTGACTCAAGACTGGCTGTGGAGGCAGTTTTGAGTTTGTCAGGTTTCTCCTCATTAAATGAAGGTACCATCTGACTCAAATGAAGAGGTATATCTTGATATGTGTCAGGTTTGTCATGGCCTACATTTGAGTTAAAACTTGTTCTATATGCAGTTTCAGTTTTGCTAGAATGTTTTTCTTCATTAGATGTTTCGTTGATGTGTTGGGGCACTGTTTCTGGATTGAGATCTAGCAAATCGTGATGTACCTTATTTCTCAGACTGGTTGTAGATGCTGTTCCAGCTTCATCTAGAATGTTCTGCTCATTAGGTGAAGGTGTTTTGTTATTAGATGGGGGTGGTGAATCTGAACTAAGGTGAGGTGTATTGTAGCCTACGTTTGACTTAAGACTTGTTTTAGAGGAATTTTCAGCTTGGTCGAAGGGTTTCTTCTCACCAGAAGAAAGTGCTTTGTTACTAGATGGAGATGGCGTATCAGGACAGAAAGCTGGAGAATCTTGACTTACAATAGACTTAACACTGGTTGTCGAAAGAGTTTTGAATGTGTCAGAAGATGTGCCCTCACTAGATGAAGGAGCTTTGTTGCCAGATAGCAGTGGTGTGCGTGGACTTTGGTCAAGTGTATTGTGCTGTACACTTGACAAAAGACTAGTTGAAGAGGTTGTCTCAGTATCCTTTGAAGAGTTCTTCTCATGAGATGATGGTACTGTATGACTTAATTGGACCAGTATATCTGGACTTGGGTCAGTTGCCTCATGGTCTTCATTTGTGAGAATGGTTGTGTTTGAACAAAGTTTATTCTCAGTTTCAAGACCCTTAGTCTCATCCTTTTCAGATACAGACATTTGATTACACTGAAGTGACTTTTGTTCAGGTGCTTTGTCTTTACTTTTGTCTCCACAAGGAGGTTTAGTACTGATCGTTAACTCCTTAGATTTGGATTCATTTTGTGGTTGTTTGTTTGTTTCCTCACGTTTAACAATTAGCTGTCTTGGAGTAGCAACCTCTGGTAAGATTTCCTTGGGTTTGCTGAAAGGACTGCTAAACTTGATAGCTTGGCTGGTTTCAAACATCTCTGAACGCTGCAGATGGACTTGTGTTGGTTTGCTGACATCCCGAATGTTAATAAACCCAATTACATCACTTGGTGGGTCAGGTTCTGGCCAGATGGGAAGGTAAGGGATTAAGTTGGCTTTTTCTAGATTAGTTAGTCCAGGATGAAGGGGAGGAGCATCTGGCACAAGACTCTCAGCCAACTTCTTTTGACCTTTCTTCTTGGATTTCTCTGGAACCTCAAGGTCTTTTGGGCCACCATTGGAATCCGAAGTGGTGGGGCTGGGGTTGCTCAAGGCAACCAGAGCATATTTGGGGTTGTACATCTTTCTAGCGACAGCAGCAGAAGGTGGTGCTACAGCAGCAACTTGGGGTCGGGATTCTGGCTCAGGTTCAGGTTTTGTGGCGACTTGGTGCAGGTCAACAGCAGTGGAACTCAAATAAAGGAAGCGAAACAGTTTGTCAAAAACATCTACAGTCTGGCCGGTAATCACTGTGATGAGATTACTATCCAACCGTGAGGACATCCAAGTGAAACTAGATAAAGCAAACACAACATTAGTCTACCTTACAATGTACCCAAATGCAAGAACGATAATTAGTTAAATAATGATTTGGCAAATTTATTACAAAAGCAATTAGTTTCATTAAACAATTGGCTAGTGAATGGAATCAAACCGGTTTAAGCTTTGAAACCAAAAATCCCATTTTTTACTACCCTGTTCTCAAATGCACCGTTGGCAAGATTTAATTAGCTGTACTTCCGTAGGATTGTATTGCTTTAAAACAATTTGTGTACATTAATATTCTATTATGAGTATTAAAATAAATAAATACCACAAATAAAACAGTGAAGCTGAAAGTAATTTCATAATATCCACAGAAATTTGGACACTTCAATATGAAACAATGATAATGAATGACGTCTCGATTGTAATGTTTTGCCCTCGATATTCGTTATCCTTCAATAATTTATTCTCAATCCAGTTGTTCATATTTTTGGATTATTTGTGCTTTTTATACCACAGGTTTGCAGACATACCATGAGTGCATTAATGTTAAGGTGAATTTTTATGTTCAGTGTTGGGTCCCAGTCTTTAAACAGTCGACAAACAGAGATCACGATTTGATTTGTTAAGCCTGAAAACCGACATCTTCAACCGCGTTTAAACGATAAATATATCATATGTGACCCGCACTTGTAAAGCGCCGTTTAGAGTCGCAGGACTGCAAAGCATTTTACACTACAGTGAATCCTTCATCCATTCACACATGCTGATGGTGATGAGCTACAATGTAGCCACAGCTGCCCTGGGACTCACCTTCAGAGGCGAAACGGTGTTCATGAATTTATTAGTAAAAAATTGGGAAGGTAATACTCTGACCAGCTTTAATTACATTACTGGTGGTTAAAAAAAACACAGAAACAATGAGCCCAAGTTAGTCTATGGTTACATACTTATGTTACATTGTCTTAGATAAACAGTAAGTATAAGTAATTCAAGAGATTGTAAACATCTTCACTGGTTGTTGGGCTAGCTTACTCCCAGCTCAGCAAAGAGTGGTGCTGTGTTAAAGCACGACTGATGTAAAACCAAAGGACGCTACATATTCTTTAGACTGACGTTGGCATGGGGAGGTCAGAGTAGGGCTGGACGATAATGCAATAGTTCAATGTATTTATTTCTTAATTTTTCTTAATTTAGTTTTTATGATTCAGTAGCTCACTTTTAACACCTTACACCATCTTGTAGCTTTTTTGGTTTTATTTGTGCCTTTTCAAATGGTTTTTATCATTCGTCGCATTATTTTTATTTTTGATAGTGCCGTTAACTGTTCTCTTATCTCCTGTTTTTAGTAGGAATTTTTATTCTTGATTATTTATGCTATGCTTTTATGTATTTTACCTGATTTTCATGCATTCATTGTGTTTTACTGATTTGTTCAAGCATTTGGCTCTTTTGTGCACAGCACTTTGGTTTGCTGCCATGCTATTTTGAAATGGTGCTCTTTAAATAAATTAGTATGGTATGGTATAGATAGACATGTGGTGTGATAGAAAAAATGAGTCGATAAAACTTCAATTAAAAAGTTTTCTTTTTTTTTATTATAACCTATCAGATAGCAGCATACTAGACTCACAACTTACTCCTAACCAATCAAAACCGCAGACTCGGCACACTACATCACCAGGCCCTCCCTTCTCAAACCAAAACAGAACATGAGGCAGCAAGATGTCTCAGCGAGAAGAGGTGGAGAAAAATAAAAAATACCAGAAATAAAATGGCCAGGGCTGCACGTAAAATCTATTTTCTACAATTTTTAAAATATTTTTCAACAATTATCGATATCGATCAATATAATTTTTTTTATTGATATACTATTTTTCTATATCGTCCAGCCCTTGGTCAGAGCCGTGCTAATACTGGACATTCATACTGACTCACAAAAACTAGAACTGGTGAATCTGTTTTTAAACAATAAAAAGAAAATAACTAGTTTTCTGCTGCTGAAGGTGTTTGGTAAAAATGTCATGCTCCATCAGGACAAAAAGTCTCGATAACACTTAGCCAATGACAAAAAAAAGCTTAAAATATTTTAAGTACAAAACCCAAGAATTCATACAGCAGTGTTTGTTTCAATGACTCTAAATACTCAGCCAACAGTTTCTTTTGTTCATTCTGAATGTATAACTAGTTTGACTTCTATGTTATTTAAATTTAGGAATAAACAAATTATTATTTTTGCATTTTTCCATCCCAAATCACAGAGGTAAAGTCAAATTAGGCATATAAAAACATTTTTGTCTTTTCAAAGATCTGTTCTGCCGTTTTATGCTACACACACGGGGAACACTGACCTGTAGGAGCCAGACACAGCCTTGTCTCCATCAACGAACATGAACCTATGGCCCATCTGACCTCTGACCTTGGTACAGTTCCGAGTGTAAAACTCTGCTCCTCCTGTGCAGCGAACCCGAAGATGCTAAAACACAGACAGACAGATGGATCAGAGTCCAAACAATACAACACATTCAATGGTGTCATGTGTGAAAAGCACAAACTCCTCCTTTTTGCACCAATAAAGCACAAGAATGTGTGAAAAGCGCTTAAGATAGACAGTCGGTGTATGGAAATTACAGTCAGTACTTTTCCACTTCCTTCTTTGAAGCACTGAGGAGGAATTCTGACATTCCTAGAGTCTCCTACAGTATCATCAACCTAATTGTACATTTCCTGCATGCTCCTGCTGCTTTGAGTGCTTTTTTCACCACGTGTTGCGTTTTCACACAGCTGTGACTTCTTTGGGAACGATCATGATCGTCAGATTGAACCGAGTGTGAAATCTTCCAGAAACACCCAGCTGGGATGCAACTAAATGATCGTGTAACAGCTTTGATTCGTAGTCCCTGGCACAGCCGCGTTTCACACCCGACCCGACACACTCGTCACACCCTTAACTTTCCACTTCTGTCACAGAGCTTTCTTTTGGTAAACAGATTAGATAAGTCAACAATCCGCCCTTGTCTGCATGCGTTCGGATGAACCCTCCTGTTGTCACAGGAAGACGTGAAATATGCACATTTTCAAACACAGACTGAAACTGGCAAGTTGAAGGATCCCCTCTGGAGATTTCAAATTTATTTAGAAACTTTCTTGCAAAACTGACACTTTTCTAGCTTGCTGAAGTGCAACATTCCTCTTTCTCTCACTTATATGTCAACTCATCTGCTCCTCCTCCCATCCTGTTCATCCACCCCTCCACCCTCTCTTACGGCTCGTAGCAAAAGTCTCAATCTGTCACACTCGTCTTCCTCTTCCTGCCAGCCACCTTCTCATTCAGCTGCAGCTTTCCTGCTGCCTTGTCACGCTGGGAGACGTGGTGTTAGCTGCTCTTCAGTGTTTCTGCATACAGAACCATTAGCATCATAGAAGGTTGGGTAATTTTGTCCGACAGAACAGGCTCGGCTCCAGATGCTGCTCCCAATAATGCACTGTGATGCACAAAGCTGAGCCTCGCGTCGCCCTCCGGGGAGAACCAAACAGAAATTAACTGTGTGACACACACAAGCTTCACCATGTGCCACTGAAATACCAGCTGTGATTCTGTTTAAATGAATCACACAAATGCACAACATTAATAAGAAAACTCTTGGGTTGATCAGCAGTCACTCAGAGTTACTCGATCAGCCAAAGGAATGGATAAACAAGCCACCTTTCCCAAACACAGAGAGATTGCACTATATAACATTTGGCTGATTTAGAAGTAGGGCAACTTCAGGGCAAATGCACGCTGTGCAGACACATCACTGTGGGCAGGACTGCAATTTAAAGGGAGACAGGCGAGCCGAGGCATCCCGGCAGAAAGCACAATGTTTACCTTTACATGAAGGGAAAAACAGAGCTGATGAAACAGAAAGACAAACCTTGCTAAACTGAAATGGTTACCATGTCGTACCAGACACATGTAGAAACGTCCAACACGGTGGGTTTTTCTGCCCCCAGACCCAGACGGAACTCAAAACAGTGTTTGTGCATGACTTGTCTCACGCACTCCTGATCGTGCTGATCTCCATGACCCGTATGGGTTTATTTAAATATGTAAAACAACATGAAAATGCTTAAGGTGTTTAAAATATTTGTTTTTTCCCCTACAGACAAAAAATTTGGGTGCGAACTTTATTCTGCAGAACGACCCAAATCAAGACTATGGTGGATCACACATAGACGACTGTGTTGTTTATGATGCAATATGATTGCATGATATAAATTACTCAACGAAATGCAACATATACTTTAAATGGCAGCTGTGGCTAAGTTTCTAGAGTTCTCCTCAGACCTAGGAGGACAAAATCAGCTTTTTGGTCATTTTATTTTAATTTAACCAATTCTCGCTGGTTGGTACTTGGAGATGGAAGCTTTTCTGATGTGTAGGACCTGCATGCTAACTAGAAGCCGACCAATATATTCAATTTTTTCTATATTGGCCGAAATTATTTTTAAAGGCTGACAAAATAATTAATAAAATCAGGCACCTGCCGCCACTACTAAACTGAAGAACCCTGAGGACCCCAACACACCGTTATTTTTTTTAAATGTTTTGAGTTTGTTTTTATATTTGAAGTTCAACAAATATTAAGAGATTTATTGACTTATCTATGTCAATAAATCTTAATAATCGGCTTTAGATATCGGCTATCGGCAACAACCCTTTTTAAAAATTGGTATCGGCATCGACCTTAAAAAAACCATATTGGTCAGCTTCTAATGCTAACAGTGCAGCACTGAACATAAAAAAATGATGTTAACCAAGAGTTTTTCCCAAAATGGAAGTGTTAGCCACTTATTTTCATCAATCAATCAACAAAAAATAGAGAATGAACTGAAAATAAATCTAAATCAAATCATTCACCATTTACCTTCAAAACAGCATTAGTTGTTCTAGGTCCACTTAAGGAACTGGGCTGGTAGGTTGTTCCAAACATCTTGGAGAACTGAACACAAATCTTCATTGCTTGGTTCTTTTCTGTGGTGCTCTGAGGAAAGCCACAGCGTTAGCTGAAACGTATCAGCTTAAATGATGAAAACCAATATTTACTACGCTGTGTTTAGAAAAGAACCAAGCAATGGAATTTCACGGATCATGGTAAGCGGACGTACACAGATCTTCTGTGGATGTAGGCTTCCTCACATACGTCATCACATCATGACATCCCAGACACACACAAGATGTTGAGATCAAGGCTCTGTGAGGGCCAGACCTTCCAGGACTAACGCTGAAGATAGTTCTGAATGACTTTGGCTGGATGTCTGTGGTCACTCACTTTGCATTTTGCAAATTGATAAAAATACAATTTATGAAGACATTCTTTGTTTACGGTGTTTTTCACACCTGACTAAAACTTTAGCACAGTACTGTGGCTGCTTAACGAGAACATTTTCTAATTCAATTTCTTACCTACTGGAGCCAGAAGTCTTGATGAGATCATTTAAAACTAGCAAAGAGAATAATGGCCTCTTTCATAAAACAATGCAGCCAATTTTCTGCCAAGCTGAGCCGGCATCAGGTAGCCTTTGGTCGTTCATAAGTGGTCAGACCGTGGCGGTTGCGATCGTGTGCTTTTTACTAAAGATTATGCAATGGCGGTATAAAGGAGGTGTGGCACCAGTCTCAGCGCTGTCACAGACTTCCTTTTAGCCTAGACATAAAATTATAACTTTTTATTGCGACTGAAGCCGGCCGGGGCACAGCGGATATTCCACATGTGATCATGACACTACCCTCTGTTGGACCAAGGAGTAATCTCCATTCACAAGTAAGTCAGTCATTGCAGTAATATATCTCAACATTTATAGCAAACACTTTATAATCCCTCTGGATGATGGTTAGCTGTGGTTACCACATGGATACATAGAAGCAGGTATAAAAAGTCCCAGAATCCAAATCTTCCTACAATCTTAAGAATTGTGAGATTTCCCATCTGCGTATTAGTGAGTAAAATCAGTTTGTGTGTTGCCATGTAGCAGCACACCACACTCTATTGGACCAACACTGTTAAGTTTGTGATTTTTAATCAACCTGTAGGGCAGGGCTATTCAATTCTGGGCCTCGAGGGCTGGTATCCAGCACGTTTTAGTGGTTTCTCAAGTCCAACACCATAGATTCAGTGGTTCAGTGGTTGAATCACCTGTGCAGCAGCTCATCAGGCTCTGCAGAGGCCTGTTAATCACCTGCTGATTGAAATCAGGTGTGTTGAAGCAGAGTTAAAACCACAACTTGCTGGATACCAACCCTCGAGGCCCTGAATTGAATAGCCCTGCTGTAGGGTTTCGTGTTTTAAAAATCTTACCACAATTTTCAAATCTTGCTTTGCAAACCAGTGTAGCTTCACCTGGCAAGCCATCCTATATATGAAAATATAGTCTGATCACAGCTAAGTCATAGTGGCAGAATCTACGATTGTCTTTCAAACTGTCCCTGCATGCAATTGGACTGCGCTAGGACCAATCAGAGTAATGAACACCATGACGTATTCATCGCCACAGAAATCAGTCAAAGGAGCAGTCCACTATTCACCGTCGAAAAAGTACCTCTATCTGCTCAGGTCTCAAAGAAAAGCCCAAGTGTTGATACCGAAGCCGTTTCAAATGAGTGCCATTTTTGAGTAGACGCCATCTTGGTAGTTTTTCTGTGTTGCAGCTTTGGTGATTCGTCAGACCTAAAAGTGTTCAGGCCAATGGTCAACCTGCCAAGGCTACAATGGAGTGTGGCTAGACCGCCCTGCAGAGTATAATATTTAGCTACCACCACAGTTTGTCTAGCATTCTAGGCCAAGTGTAGGTACCAGATCTGTCTGGGGTTGGGAACAAGATGGCACCTGTGTTTGGCTTAGCCGCAGTCACCGGCCACTTTTTCAAACTTTTCTCCACTAACCTCCTCTTTTCCACCTTGCTCCTGTCTGCGATCCTCTTCAGTAGTGTCCCTGCTACCATTTCCTATGATCGCCAGGCTCTGTTTTTCTTCCGTTCGTTCACGATCGCCCAAGATGCACCGAGGACGTACCTCCCCGTTTGTTTATCTGAGTGGCGCACTGGCCCGGAGCCAAACGACGATCCCATCCAGCGCGCCTCCAGCGATGTTTATCCGGTCCCGGGAAAACGTTGGAGGAAAAGAGGTAAACGAGCAGGAATCCAGGTGAGAATAAGACTTCTCTTAAAGCGTGGTTTATCTAGTAAACATCGGCGTGATCTTCTAGCTTCTTGTCCTTTGTTTGGCGACCTGAGCACCACTTCCGCATTTCCGCCAGGCCGCGTTGCGGCGCGGTTTCTCCGTCCAAGTTTTTTAAGGTCGGTTTATCCTCATTCCTCAGTGGTTTCTCCTCATGTTCCCCCCATAAGTGGTTTTTATAAACACCGTGGATCTAACCCTGCTAATTTACATCCACTAACTCCAGCTGTTTCTGTAGTTTCTGATTCCTCCTCCTC